TGAGCAGGTAAAAACCACAAACATCATAAGGAAATGTGTTAAGGAAGACAAGTAGAAAAAAAGAGTTTAGTGACACTAAGATGATGCTGATGAATCAACATGCACAATTTTTAGGTTCTAACTTGAAGTTGAGGCTTTTCTTCTTAATATTCCTCATATAAAAAAAAATTCAAATGAACAGAGAACTGGAAGGCAGTTAAAGAGATTGGCTGTTAACGCACATTCAAGTCTGTTATTTACAATGTACATTACTAATATCATTATGAAGGCCACTCTTCCTGCAGCATTGTCCCTATGGCTTTTACGACTTTCTTCTATTTCTATTTGTTTTGTAACATCCTTGTCATATTTCTAAGAAGAAAGAAGGAAGAGAAAGAAAGAAAGAAAGCAAGCAAGCAAGCAGCAGGGCCAGCTGACCACTAGTCCAAAAGAGTCTCTGCCAATATAACATGCTTCAGGGTTTTTTTGGTGGTGTTTGCAAATAGACAGAACCATGATGCAAGCTTAAAATAGTTAAGAAAAAAAATAGCACTAAAACCACAAAGTAACTGACACTTTGGGGGAAACCAGAATAATAGCACCATAGCACCGTTTTTCTTTTTCCTGAGATAGCTGTCTGCACTAACTACAAACATCCTCTGACCAAGCATTATCTTTTCTGCAAGCGGAGAAGAGAGATGGAGAAATGCCATTCCTCATGGCACAGTCCCAACATCGGAACAGCTATCAGCAATATATATTGAAAGGAAGAAGATGAATCATTTTTTGCTATGAAAAGAATGGTTCCTTTGCCACGAATTCCTTTGTTAACACAAAATTTCTTTGGTTTTAACCTTTTTAACACTAAACATGTATTTTACAATTTGTATAAAGAGAGACCTCTTGGACATACTTCATCATTTCAAAATATGCACTTTACACCTATGAAAATGTAGCAAAGCCACAAATGCTTTGGTCAAGAAGTTTCACCCCTCTTGAATTGACGGATGATATCATATGTTCTAGGAATATTTTTATCATCTGGCATGTTGCTCGGCACCATATGGCACAGCACACTGACAAGAGAGAAAGGACTAGTTTTAAATATTTTATATATATATATATATATGTGTATATATATATATAGGTAGATAAAAATAAAAATGTTATACTTCTATAGAAGTATAAAGACACTATTGCACATTTCTGTAATTCTTATTACAGTAGGGGATCACTGTGAAAGGTATTTACTTTGTCCTCACACTAAAAGAAGTAAAAACTAAACAAGTAGAGCATAAAACAGTTTCAAAAAAAGAAATGCAGACCCTCAAGAAGAGCTTGAACTGAATGCAACACTTCTTTTCTCACTTGGCATTGCTTCTTTTTCCAAGACTTGTAATTACTGTAATAATGACATATTAACCCTTTCTCTTAGAATTAATTCCGGGCAGTTAATTCAGATAGTCACAGTTTATAGTCGCTTGTAATTTGTAGCTAGATCAATAGTTCCAGTTCTGACCGTACTGGAAGGGATGAGTTTGCTATTTTTTCCAAGAAAAACTTTATAAAGGGATGCTCACCATGACTTGGTATTAATATACGCATAAATGATCTCTCCATTTCCATCATTACTTAAGTAAAATGAGTTATGAGTTGTGTGAAATACTGTATAGAGTATTTCTATCTATGGAAATACAGAGCCTATTTGGCATTTATTTAATTTTTTTTTTAAATGTGAGCTGTGGAGCCAACCACCACGCTAGCTGGTACGGAAGAACATTTAGCCCAGAATAAGCTTAACCATATTATTCCAAATCTTCTTTTCCTTTCCTGTGAAATCATCTTGAGACTGCTTGGTTCAACCTCAAATGCCACAAAATCTCAGTGATTTTCCTGACACAATGAGAAGCCAGAATGTGAAGATGCGTCTACAGAAACAGAAAGTTTAAATATATTCTATACTAGTATAAAAGCAATGAACCTTCAGTGATCTCATAATCATCCAGTACTGTACTTGTTCCCTTTACCCTCTTTAAGTCACCAGTCTAAGAAGAGGATACTGAGCCGAACTTCTGAAACCTCTGATGACATCTTCCTGTCCATTCTCTGTGACTTAACTGCATAAACATTTGTCTACATTAGGGCTTTCCCCGCGTACTTTTGGACAACTCCAAGCCTATTCTTGCTCTCTGGGGGGAGCACGATGTCTGACCCCAATGACTCAAGCGTCCATTTTCCTCCCAGCTCCATATCCTCCCTGCTTCTACCAGCCTACATACAAAAGTTTATCACCACCTCCACAAGACACCTGTGCACAGGAGCCAGTATTTTTCAACTCTGCTACTCTTCAAATCTTTATTAACCTTTTCCAGGCCTGCAAATAATGTGTATTAGCCCATCTCAGACAGTATGTTGCACTCTTCTACTGTCTGCTTGGTCTCACATTGGCATTCTCCCATCTTTCCACACAGCCTCACCATTCTCGGTAGAAAAAACATTTCCTAGTTCCAGATCTTGGAAACTGTCTTTCTCTCTCCTCCTCACCAAATCTTCACATCATTTAAGATCTTAAATGAAATTACAGAGTCTGCCTTTGCTTACAGTATTGCTACTATAGTCTATCTGGCATTAGTATAGTAAAGTATGACAGCAGAGGATAAAATTTATTTAGTGATATATTTTCAATATTCTTACATTGTCATCTACTCACTAGAGCTGAAAGTTCAAAAGAGCTTGAAACAAATGATTAAATGACATACACTTGAAAACAAATAGAATAATATAAATAGTAAAGTATTAGGTTATTTGCATAAACCACAGAAGTGCTAATTCCAATCCTTTAAGATTAATGAGGCTGCAGAACAGTGCGAATATAGGAACTGCAGTGCTTGTAGCTGACTCTGAAGATTCACGATGTAGATGCTGAAGTAACTGAGAACTCCTAAAGCATGTATCTGTGCTTGCCTCATGCCCCGGATGACAGGCAGCATCCCAAACTTCACTCCTTCCTCAGCTCTCTTTGCCCTGCAGGCTGCATTGCAAGCATGGAAGGGTGCAGGCTCGCGTTACGGATTACTGCTCGTGGCTTGCAGACCGTGTGGCCCAAGAAAGCCACAGTACCTCCCAGTTTCATTGTAGTTTCACAGCTATGAGCTCAAGTGGTTTGGGGATGGAGGGGTGCTAAGAGGGAAACTGTGCTTCAGTATTAAAGTCCTTGTCACGTTTTAGGGATACACTCATCCTCAAGCATCTAGCCGGTAGGCCAAATAAAATTATTTTGCTGTGAGGGTCTTCTATTTGGGTTCCAGGCACAAAACACCGCTAGAGTTTCCACCCCTTTTCAGTACTAGCGGGGCCCTACTCAAGTTGGAGTAACTAAGCTGAACTTTACTATAGCATACATAGATGAAATAATCTTTGGGCTGGAAGCCTTTATTGCAAACACCAGTGACCTCAGATTGTTTTCAATGTGGACAGCTTCAAACACAACAGCTTTAAAGA